CTGAGCCACCCAGGGGCCACGCTGGCTTTTTTAAGATTCCACGTATCAATCTTAAACAAACAAACAAACAAACGAACAAACTCAGGGTGCCTGGCCAGCTCAGTTGGAAGAGCATGTGACTCTTCATCTTGGGGTCGTAAGTTCAAGCCCCACGCTGGGTGTAGAGATTAACTAATTAATTAACTAACTAATTAAAAAAAAAACCAGGGTGCCCAGGTATCACAGTCAATTGAGCAGCCGACTGTTAGTTTTGGCTCAGGTCATGATCTCAGGGTCCTGGGTTCGAATTCAGCAGTGGGCGCCACGCTCAGCTCAGAGTCCGCTTGAGACTCCTTCTCCCTCTCGCTCTGCCCCACCCCTGCTCTCTCTCTCTCTAATATAAATAAATAAAATCTTTAAAAAAACAAAACCACCCAAAAACCTCATAGAAACAGGGAACAGACCAGTGCTTGCCAGGGGGCGGAGTGGAGAAATACGGAGAGGTTGTCCAAAGGTCCAAACTTCCAGCTAGACGATGAATAAGTTCTGGGGAACCTAATGTACACTGGGGTGATTACAGTTAACACGACTGGACTGTATATCTGAAAGTTGCTAATCGAGTAGATTGTAAAGGTTCTCACCACACCCCCCACACACACACACACAAACACACACACACATATACACATGGTAACTCTGAGGGGATGGATGTGTTAACTAACCTTATGGTAGAAATCATTTTGCAATATATTCATAGGTCAAATCACTACATTGTACACCTTAAACTGACACAAGGTTACATATCAATTATATTTCAATAAAGGGGGGACATCGATTTCACATATAAGGGAAATCATGCAGTGTTTGTCTTTCTCCTTCTGATTTATTCACGGGCATCTGCAGAGACCATGGAGACCGTGACACCACACAGGGCAAATGCTGCAGAGATGTCACCTTTCCTCACCAGCATTTTCCCAGAATTTCCTCGGCCACCGACAGGGACCGAGACTCCGAGTGGTCTCACAAAAAACGGTGGTCATCGAGGGTGGGGCTCCCCCTCCTGTCCTGTCATGTCCCCCCCCCGCCCCCCCAGCGATCCCAGCACCCCAGCCCTGGAGACTCCCTCTCTGGCCCCCCTGGAGGAGAGCCTTTCCACTCGCTGGGCAATTTCTTCACTCCAGGGGCCTTTTCACAATATTCTTGGCAGCTGTTGGTTAACTGGTCTTTGAAGATTTTGAGTAATTTTAGAAAAACAAGAAAAAGGGAAGCTTGCCCTGCCTCCTCGCTGTCTGGGTTCCCCTGGAGCTGACAGCCTCCTTCCTGGAGCTTTCCTTGGCTCGCTGAGTCACACTCACTTCCTGTCCCTGCCCTGGGGCCACGAAGCCCCTGCCTCCCAAGTTGAAGACTTTGGGCACTCCTTCTTCTGCCCCTTCCTCTGCCAGGGTCCCCGCGTTCACCCCTCCTGCCCAACTGGCAGTCTCCAGTGTGCCCCGGAGCCTCACATTTATTTCAGCAGAGCAAGTTCCAGACTACAAACCTTTCTTCCCATGTGACTTGGATCAGATATTATTCTAGAAGAGGCTCCCTGCACAGCATGGGTGGAGAACGCCCACATTCCTGATCCTGAGACCACCCATCCTCACTTCTCCTGGGGGCCGTGCCCTCAGACCCTTCAAAGCGCTGATGTGAGCCTGAGAAATCCTTTTTGCTCACTTTGTGAGGCCCCCCTTCTTGGCCCGCCCAGGGCCAGGCCCCATTAGAGTGTCAAATAATAATAATGTTATTATTATTATATCCATAATATATTATGATGATTATCATTATGGCAGCCAGAGTTTTCTGGGTGCTTCCTATATGCTTACAATGTGACCACCAGTCACCCTGAGGTCTGTCTCGACCCCAGACCCCCCCTGATAAACTCATATATCCTGCTGCCTCCTGGGGATCCTGCAGATAATACCTAAGAAAATGTATCAGGTTGTTAGTTTCTGTACAGTCCAACTAGTTGCCGAGGGACAGGTCATTTGAGAAGGATCCCAGCTAGGGATGCCTGGGTAGCTCAGTCAGTTAAGTGTCTGCCTTCGGCTCAGGTCATGATCCTGGGGTCCTGGGATGGAGTACTGTGTTGGGTTTCTTGCTCAGTGGGGAGCCTGCTTCTCCCTCTGCTCCTTCCCCTGCTTGTGCTCTCTCTCTCTCTCTCTCTGACAAATAAATTAAAAAAAAAAATCTTAAAAAAAAGAGAGAGAAGGATCCCAGCTAATTCCAGGGGAAGGATTAATAAGGTTAAAAATAATCTTCAGGAGAGGATGGGTCCAGTCATTGAGGCGTGATGGCTGCTAACAACTTTAAGTGGAGAATTGGTGGGGACCAGGGGACACCTGCCCCACTCCTACCAACCCACAAATAAATTGTAGCACCCTGACATTATGGAGCTCCTGAGGAGATGCAACAGGAGGTACCCAGCCCCACCAGTGAGAGAGTATTCTGACCTACAGTGGAACCTGGTCCAGGTAGTGCTAACCACCTGTTGACCTGAGGAAACAGCACGGTGGGGATGGTGGGGACAGATGCTAAGAACAAGTTATATAGGGTCACAAAGACGCAGCCAGCCAAATCCAGAATGGGGGCCATTCCCTAGGACAGGAAGAGAACCCCTAAGAAAACACACCAAGTCGGGATAAATGTCCTGAGGAAATAAAGCACGGTGACATTTGAGCTAAAACGGGAAGGAGGGAGGATACGAAGAACTGGGGGCAAAGCATTGTAGGTAACGAGAACAGCAGGTGCAAAGGTCCTGTGGCTGGAACGGGAGTCGTGTGTTTGAAACACAGCATCTGTGGCTGAGGAAGCCAATGGCGAATGGACTTGCGTAGGGACTTTGTAAAACACATAGAGAGGGAGGTTGGATTTCATTCTCATAGGAGGGTTTTGACAAGTCTCAGTAATGCATGCGGAGGGCTCGGCGTGATGCCTGTGACGTGCTCAGGGCCTGACGCTGCCGGCTGCTATGGCCCATAGAGGTCCGTGAATTTTGGTTAAATCAAAATGTCCTTAAGTCAGAGACGCTACAACAGCACCTCGGCCTAAGTAAAGAGCAGAGGCCGAGGCGGTGGAAGCAGTGTTGCCGCGGAGAAGCACGGAGCAACCACTGACCTACTTAGAGTTTCCAGTGAGGGTCACCCCAGCTCCAAGTACGGACGTGCAAGAGCCAAGAACCCGGAAAATTGCGCCACAGCGCCCCCTGGTGCTCACAGCTTTTACCTACCTAAGCGGGCCCGGGAGGTGGCGGGGTGGGGGGCGGAGACCGCGGCTTCCTGGGGAGGCGAGTTTAGATGTTAAACTTTGAAACCATCTCCTTCCCGCTCCGTCTCTGGCCAGTTAAAAGGCTTCCCTGCGGAGGCCGGACGGGGAGCCGCGCATCCAGGGCGGGCATCTCAGGGGTCGGGGGCCGGGGCCCCTCCCCGCACCCACTCCGCCCCTGCGACTACCTTGCATATCCAGCTTTCTGCCCTGGTAGGAGTTTCTAGTAACTCCTAGAAGTAGACTTGCTGAGTCAGAGTGTTTAGCGCTTCACCAGGGCCCCGCCTGCAACCGCGTGTGCAATCTTCCCGGGAAAAATGTCCTTAGATTTCCCTGAATTCTCGAAAGGATTGGTGACTTCAATCAGGGCCACGTCTTCCATGGCCGGGGAGGAAAGGTCCTGCGTGTCCTGTCTCCGCCCATGCCCTCCTGGTCCCAGCCTTGGACGGGCCACATCCCCTGAGGTGACGTAATAGGAATTAGTAGCGCTACACGGGCGGGGGGTGGGCACTACACCCAGTTTACCCACCCACTCTCTTGTCTTTGCCTCCCCTGTGCCTTCCCCTTCTTCCCTGACTCCTCTTTTCATTCTCAACTCAGACTTCCCCTCCTCCAGGAAGCCTTCCTTGACTGCCTCCAGTCTGGCTAGATTAGGGTATCCTCTGGACTCCCACAGCCCCGTCTGCTGCTGTCCACCTGGTTCAGTATCTGCCCCCACAGAGAGAGAATGGTCATCATATCTTATTCACGCTGTGAGATTCAGATCTTTTTAACTGGGTGTTACGGGCTGAATTGTACTCCCCCCCAAAAAAAATTCATGTGGAAGTCCCAACCCCCAGGGCCTCAGAACGTGACTGTATTTGGAGAGAGTCTTTTTACAAGATAATTAAGTTAAAACGAGGTCATTAGCGTGGGCCTTAATCCAACATGGCTGATGTCCTTCTAGAAGGGGGGATTAGGACATAGGCATGCAGAGGGACAGCCACGTAACGACGTGGAAGACCACATCTGGGTCTCCACTTGCCAGTGAGAGGCCTCAGGAGAACCAACCCTGCGGACACCTTGAGCTTGGACTTCCAACCCCCAGGGCTGTGGGAGAACACATCTCCGTTGTTTAAATCACCCAGGCTGCGGTACTTCGTTAGGGCAGGCCCAGCACAGTCTTATACCCTCTGCCATATCCTGCAGGTACGAGCCCCTGTGAACACCCTGGGGGTGGGGCCAAGGATGGGCCGGGAGACTTCGAACGCTCTGGGGTGGGTGGGAACTGGGCATGGTGTGCTTTGTGCCTGTCTTCACACAAAGGCAGACTCTGATCCCCCGCGTATGGCTCCGGGGGCCCATCAAGACAGTGGGGATGGGGCAGGATACTGGGTCCGTTCTGCTAGCTAATACTAACAGGCCCATCACAGCGGCCAAGATGACTCTAGGGCCTGCGGAGGGCCCTCGCGCCATCAGCTTTCTGGCATGACATCTATCTCCTCTGCAAAGTGGCCCCATGGTGAGGATGCATGGAGAACCCAGGAAGCCGGCCAAGGCCTTCCCGCTAGCCCGTGTCGGAGCCAGTGTTCAAACCAAGCCCAAATGTTAACCTTCGCCTCGGCTTAAGATGCCCTCTGGCAGGACAAGAGTAGGTCCTGAGGGACAGGTCAGGGAGGAGGGCCCACGGGAGGCTGGCCCAGGTCAGCTCCGTCAGAGAGAAGGTGAGCCGGGGGCTGGTAGGCAGAGAGAAGGGAGGAGTTTATTTCTCTGGGAAGGGAGGGAGACAGGTCAGGGTAAGGCAATGTCCTCCAGCTTCTGGTCCAGCGTCTTGAGGTCATCCAGGAAGCGGGTCGGGGTGAGGATGTGCGAGGAACCTGGGCAGCAGGGGAGGATTGGGGAGGTGGGGCTGCCGCCTTGGGACCTCCAGCGAAGGTCCTTGGAAAAGCAGGCCCTGACTCTGAGGACTCAGGAGTCTAGACTCCTTAGAAACATAGGGGTCCAGCCCCCAGGTGACCCCTTTCCTGGGAACCCAAGCCCCAGCCCCTGCACAGGCTCCAGGTTTGGGGTACCCAACAGGGAGTCCCCTGTCAGCCTGACCCTCTAGAGCACCTACGAGTCCAGCCCCAGCACCCAGGGACCTCAGTCCTGGCTTCTCACCAATGAGCACCTCCCACTTGCCATCGGTGGCCCTGGTCACCTCATAGGCGGCCCTCATCTCTGACATCGCCACGCCGCCCAGGACATAGATGATGAGCCGGGGCCCTGCCCGCGTCTCCACACTGGCCTTGTTCTTGTGCCAGTGGCCAAAGCGGGCACTGTGCAGGGGGAGGCAGGCAGAGGTCAGTCCGAGCAGGAGTCCCCCCCCGGCCCCACCACCACCGCCACACCCCTCATGTCACATGGACCTCGGTGTGGGCAGGGGGCGTCCCTGGGGCCCTCACCTGACAGCAGCCTGGGAGCTGGATGTGGAGGCGGGGGTGGACACAAAGGGCCACAGCTTTTGGTCCAGCCGGTCCTCCACGGCATCCTGGGAGCCAGAGAGGGAGGCTTAGGAGAGAAGCCCCAGGTGACGGGGCATCCAGGGTCCTTGGGGGGGTGGGGCGGGCAAGGTTGCTGGGCCCCCAAGCGGGCAGAGGCGCCAGGTGCCAGAGGAAAAGCAGGCAGGAAGCCAGGAGGCCAGGCCCCTGGCCTGCTCCTTTAAGCTGTTGCTGCTCTGGGCTCCCGGGATGGGCAGGGGCTGGTGGTGGGGAGGGTGAAGGGGGAACAAGGGGATATCTCGGGGCGGGGGGGGCAGCACGGGAAGAGAACAGAGGAGGGCAAAG